AGGACTCCTTACCAATTATACCCAGAAACATATGGAAGGAAAGATGATCCAAAGAAATCCTAAAAAAATAGATGTTGGAAGGACTGTGAAATGAGAACTTTTCTTTGAGAAATGATGAAAGTTGCAAGGAGATTCAACTAAAGGCTATCAAATGATTYTCCTTAGGATGAACAGGCATTTGTTGCTCAAATAAATTATGGTCTTGTGGATTCAGCAGGGGTACCATTTGAACCATAAAAAAGGCAGATCTTAAGCAAACAAAAACTATTTTGTGTACTATATAATTGTCTTTTATTTCTAAATCCATGAAGTGCCTTCAAATATCAAATCACTTTTAAAAACCCTCAAAGATAGGACCATGAACAGATTATTAACACATCTAAATCTTTATGATTTGTATTAAAGAAGACAACCAAATGTCCCTTATTCTGTGAGAAACATGTAGAAATTGAATTATGGTTCTAAGTTAAGAGGTTGATCCAAAAGCTGAGGCTGATGTTTACAATGCCCAAATCTCATCCAAGATTTGTATGCAGAGAAGTGGTGACATTATAACCTGAGGTGTTTGTATTTCAGACCTTAGGGTTTCCAAAGTATTTTTCAGAATAATGATGGGTGATGAAAAATTTCTACCAGTTATTACTCAAGACACTGAATACCATAGCAATAGGTGGTTTGTTTAACTGAAAACAAAAAAAAATTATCTCACAGAGGTTAAAACTGTGGGCTCTAGCTGGGTGCCATTTTACACACCTGTAATCTCAGTGATTCAGGAGGCTAAAGCAGGAGGACTCACAAATTCAAGGCCAGCCTCAACAATTTAACAAGGCCCTGAACAAATTAGCAAGACTCTGTCTCAAAATTTAAAATAAAAAGGACTGGAATGCAGTTCAGAACTAAAGCGCCCTGGGTTTAATCTCCACTATGAGGGGGAGAAAAATGTGGGCTCTAGAACAGGGCTGCTTATATTCAAATCTTGGTCCCATCATTTACTGTATGACCTTGAGCAACTTTAATTCATTTATTTCATTTTCATTTCCCATATAAAAATAATGTTAAGTATTTAGTAATATCTGGCCATTAATAAGCAGTTCAGAGAAGTTATGTATTATTGTTAACAAATCCTTTTTTTCAATTCCAGAAGATAGCCAATAATTAAACTTTGTTTTGCCTATAATAACGCTACCTACTGATATTAGCAAAAGAGGCAACTTCTAAACTGAGAACAGGAGTGCAGAACTTTTTAAAGCTCTTATATCCTACAGTGCTCTCTACTTGTCCTCACCATACAGTTGAGACTTCTCAGTTCAGAGTCCTGCTCATTCCCACTCTCCTTCATTAGTTTTATCTCATATTTCAAATTCCAGAAACCTCTTTATACAATTATTTTTTGAGAAGCATTCTTCTTCCCTTTTCAATCTCTTTCCACTACCTAATTGTTAGGTTATTGTGTCATCCACAGTCATTTTTTTAATATTTATTTTTAAGTTATAGGTGGACACAATTTATTTGTATGGTGCTGAGGATTGAACCCAGTGCCTCACATATGCTAGGCGAGTGCTCTATCTCTGAGCACAACCCCAGCCCCCACAGTCCATTTTTAACTTCACTTTTTATTGCTCTGGAAACCTGGCTTTCCCAACTTCTCCAGATGCTTTCTACCTTTAACACCTGAATCAATCTACTTCAAATTAATTAGAAAAGAAAGTCAATTTTATCCTTATTATAAACCACTGCTTTCATGATTCATCATTTTAAGTTTTACACCAGTTACTTTTCTACCTGGTTGTTGTGCTACTACTATTAACTGCCATTACGTCTAACCTTGGACCTGTTTCATTTCACATTCTTCCTTTCCTTCCTGCTTCCTAGTATTATTGATTATCTCATAGCATATATAGATAATAAGATGCTTCAAAGGTCCTTGATTTCCTAGATCCTGTCATTGTCACAACACATCTATCTCATATCCATTAAGATGTATTCTTTTGGGGAGGTGGAGAGTGGTACCAGAAATTGCACTCAGGGGCACTCAACCACTGAGCCACATCCCCAGCCCTATTTTGTATTTTATTTAGAGACAGTCTCACTGAATTGCTTAGCGTCTCACTTTTGCTAAGGCTAGCTTTGAACTCACAATCCTCCTGCCTCAGCCTCCCCAGCCACTGGGATTACAGATGTGCGCCACTGTGCCCAGCCATTAAGATGTATTCTTGATCATCAAAAGGCATTCTCTGCTCACTGCATTACCCAATGGGGCACTCCATTTCCACATCTAACATGGCATGTCTTCCATTTGGCTCTCGGGGCCTTCCATGTCACCAATTTAGCTCCAAATAGTAATTAATAATTCCATTATATTATCCTGAATAACTAATTTTATCCCTTTTGATGCCTACCTGAAAATTTCATACCCTTTCATCTTTTTTGGGATACTCTGATTGCACAAGAAACAACTAGAACAAAAAACCCACATTATCAATCAAGTTATGAACAGTATCTTTCTATATAATAGGCACATTCTATTATTCTGGGTCTTTATGGTCCCTTTATATTAAGTGTTTAAGAGCTCTAATTCGCAGAAAGGCAAATAGAGGAACTTTTGTGTATAGACAGTACATGCTAAGCAGAAAATGAGCTGGAAGATTGCCAAATAAAAGTATTGAGAGGACTAGGAAGCAAGTTTAAAATAACATTTACATTTCAGTGAACAGTCAGTTTAAAGAGAAAGCCTATGAAGTTACAGTAAAGAGTAATTTTAGTTTGGATAACAAATCTATGAAATCAGATTAGATGAGGAATACGGACAACATAATCATGGTAAGGAGGAATATTCATAAAGGTCCTCATCAATAAGTAAAGTCCCCTCCAACAAGAAGAGTGACATAAGAGTAAGAAATAGGAGGCAGGGAAGCTTAGGTAGGGAATAAGCTTCACAAACTTATAGCTACACAACTTTCTGGCTCAACCTGGGATTCTTGTTTGTTCCCCAGAAGAGAAAAACAGTTTCTAATCTTGGTTGCCTCTGCCTTACATGTACAGCTCTAATATTGGTGTTGAAAAAGCCTAAATAAGCTATCTCAACTTACAAATGAGTTGTTTTTCAACAGTTCATCTGCTTTTCTGTTGTTAGCTGAGTAATGTTTTTCAGAAATATCACATATATTCCAATCCCAAAAGCCAATTTAATATATGCCTAAATTATAGTTATATTAATATCATTAATTATATTAATATATAAATATCATTATCACTTATCGTTGGGCCTCAAAAAGGGATAAAAAACATAAAATCATAACCAGTTCTCAAGAATTCAGAACATAATGATACTGACAGAACTGGGAAACAAAGGAAGATTTAAAAGTAAAAGAATAGCAGTATACCTCTGTAAGTAATAAAACAAACAAGGCCTTGCACTCAGAAGACCCTTGAGAGCCTTAGAATGTAGGTCTCTTTTTTGGAAACATTTACTTTCAAAGGGATGGAAAAGCCATCTTGAAACTACTTTGGAGGCATGACAGTAGTCTAATTCCCTGTTCATTCTAAAAAGCTGTGGCAATTGTCCCCTATAAGAATTTCCTTATGCTAAAAATCAGTGACCCTCTAAAAGACTATATTCAGGTTTTTTCACTTCATAGACAAACCATGAAGGTATAGTAGTGTTTTAAGGCAAACTTTCCCAATTTAGAATAGGTTAGGTGACTATGGAGCTATAAAATGAAGATATGCAATTCCTATCCTAGACCTAATGAAGTACAATATCTGTGAGTAGGACTCAACACATTTTATTATTTTTTGAAGTAGTATTTCTTATTTTATTTTGAAATGAGGTCTTGCTATATTGCCCAGACTGGTGGTCCAACTCCTGAGCTTAAGCGATTCTGCTACCTCAGCCTTCCTAGTAGCTAGGACTATAAGCATATGTCACCATGCCCAATTAAAACTTCAGAGCCATGATATTTTTTCACCCAATGCCGGGGATCAAACCCACAGCCTCACTCATGCTAAGCAAGCACTCTACCATGAGTATACCTCAGTCATTTAAAATAAACTGCACAAGTGATTCTGATGTTAATCAAATTCAGTGATTCACTAGTAATAATGGATAGGACTAGCAGTCAAAAAGCAATAATTAAGCTGTTGATCTTTTCTTTATTATAACTATGTCACTATCTCTATTAGGAAGAGGATACTCATTTTTAAAATGAAGAATAACTGATTTAAAGAGGTGCTTATGGAATTAAATTGAGAAAAGTGCTCTGTGTCAAAGCATAGAGCTATTGTATGAAATTATTGATATTTTAGCCCTGCCAGTCTATTCCCAAGTTGTTTCCAATTTAATGCCATCAACTGCCCAAGTTTAATGAACTCTCTTAGATTGGCTAGTCTCATCATTGATGCTTCCAAACCACATGCACATTTACCTCTGCTTTTATCTGTTTTGCCTAAATATTTTCTCCCTTTTGCCTTCCATATCTGCCCACTAAACCCTCATTTTCAATAAATTCTTTCCTGAGTAGTCTAGGCAGGAGTAATCTGTCCTTCATAATTTAGAGCACTTACCAAGTAGTACTTTAAACCATGTTGAGCATGAAATATATGACTCCATAGTCTCATTTAATTCAATATGTGGGTTTTACATATCCCAAACTGTGTTGTAAACTTTCAGAAAAAAGGAATCTGCTGTTGTGCTTCTTGTTCTCCAAAGTACCTAACATAAAGAGCAGCACACAGTGGGTTCTCATTAAATATCTGAGGTTTTCTTATACCAACAGTAATTGAAGTTTTGCCCCAAATCATTACAAAAGCTGGTATTTCTCACCATCCTGCACTTTGTGAGATGGCTTCTCTGCAGCCATCACAAAGAAACAGATTTTCCTCTTTTATGGATAGTATGATGTTGTGTAAGAGCTGAGTTCTGACTGAATGATTCCCCACACTCTTTACACTTACAGAGACCACCTCTATTATGGATTCTCTGGTGTTTGCTAAGATCTGACCTCTGCCTGAAGGATTTGCCACACTCATCACATTGGTAGGGTTTCTCCCCAGTGTGGATTCTCTGATGTTGAATGAGACTGGTGATTCCTCGTAAGGTATTTCCACATTCATCACACTTATAGGGCCTCTCTCCAGTGTGGATTCTCTGATGTTCCGTGAGGACTGATCTTTGAGTAAAAGCCTTCCCATATTTATCACATTTATAGGGTCTTTCTCCAGTGTGAATTTGCTGATTCTCTATAAGACTTGTCCTTTGAATAAAGGCTTTTTCACATACATCACACTTATATGGCTTCTCCCCAGTGTGGATTCTCTGATGTTGAATAAGGCCACTCTGACTGAAGGATTTCCCACATTCTTTGCACTGATAGCATTTTTCTTTGTGGTGGATCTCCTGATGGGAAACAAGGGATGAGTTATAAACAAAAGCTTTTCCACACTCATTGCACTCATAGGGCTTCGCACCAGTGTGAACTCCTAGATGCTGAATGAGTATGGAACATCGACTAAAACTTTTATTACACTGAGGACACTGATAAGGTTTGTCTCTTGTGTGACTCTTGAGATGGTGAAAGAGGCCTGCTTTCTGGCTAAAAGCTTTGCCACATTCATTACAGTGATAGTGTTTTTCTCCAGAGTGAAGTCTCTGATGTTGATTAAGAGCTGACCACCGTCCAAAGGCTCTGCCACACTCATTACACTTATATGGTTTCTCTCCAGTATGTATTATTTTGTGTCGAATAAGTACAGTTCTCCCATGAAAGGTTTTTCCACATTCCTCACACTTGTAGGGCCTGTCACCAGTATGAATCCTCTTATGTTCTATGAGGCATGACTGCTGATTAAAAGTTCTTCCACAGTCATTACATTCATAAGATTTTTCTCCTGGACAGGTTCTCTTTTCAGCATGATCTGAGTTCTCAGTCGAACTCACTCCATTTTCATCACATGTAGGTTGTTTATGTTCCCTGGAGCATCCAGAAGATTCTTCTGAATTTTGAGTTTCTCCACACTTAGCAGACTGGTTTATATCATTTTCAAATCTGCTAGACACATTCCCACATGGTTTCATTCCTTCAGAAACTTTTTGTTTTGGAGTTAAATTCCTGTACTCATTTTCAGTCTTAATATCTGAAACTAAAAAAAGGATAATAAATAGTAATATTGATAGAAATAGTGATAGTAAATAGTAACAGTGATAGTAAACAATAACTTCATTAGACAACATTAAATTATTCATATGAAAAACACTCAAGAACCTAGAATTTGTGCATGACTATAAAATGGCATTAGAAAATAGAAAGGGGGCTAGGGTAGCTCACTAGGGGAGCACTTGCCTAGCATACATAAGGCCCTGAGTTCAGTCTCTAGTACCACACACACACACATGCACGCATGCACACAGAAAGGGTCAAATATATAAAGCACTCCACACATTTTTATGAAAGAAATCAATAATCCATTAGAAAACAAAGCAAAAGGAAAACTGATGGTTTCCAAGAAAGAAAATACAATAACTCATAAACATAAGAAAAGATGCCCTACTTCATCATCAGAGAAAAGTAAATTTAATACTGAGATATATTTTTTTCACCTATCAGATTTGACTAATCAATTTGGTTTAATACTGTGCTAACAAAGTGGAAATCACATATAGTCAGGAGCATAAGTTGATACAAACCTTTTAGGAGGATAATTTCATAATATCCATCAAAATTACAACAGTTATAATTTTTGGGGGGTGGGGGTACCTGGGATTGAACTCAGGGGTACTTGACCATTGAGACATCCCCAGCTCTATTTTTTATTTTATTTAGAAATAGGGTCTCGTAGAGTTGCTTAGCACCTTGCTTTTGCTGAGGCTGGCTTTGAACTTGTGATCCTCCTGTCTCAGACTTCCAAGACACTGGGATTATAGGCATGGGCTAAGGCAGCATTAGTTTTTATTTTTTTATTTTTATTCTTTTTAGTTGTAGATGGACACACTATCTTTATTTTATTTATTTATTTATTTTTATGTGGTGCTGCGGATCAAACCCAGTACCTCACACATGCTAGGCAAGGGCTCTACCACTGAGCTACAACCCTAGGCCTAGGGTTATAATTTTTGACATAGTGTTTCCACATAATAGTAATTTACACTACAGATATACACATAGTTATTTATTGAAGCATTGTTTGCTATTGTGAGACACTAGACAYAAATGTCGCCAGTAGGAGACTGGCTAATTTAATTGTGTTTTTTTCCTTATAATAAAAAAAAAAAGCCAGGCATAGTGGCACATGTTGGGTAAACATATAACGGCAGCAGCACCCCAGAGAAAAACCCCAGCATGGCGTCTAACGACCCTCTTTCTCCTCTTTGTTTCTTTCACTGGCGCGAAACGTTCCCGCCGGCGCCAATGTTCAAACCCGGCTGGTGGGAAGCCTTAGCCCCAATTAGAATTCACTTCTTGGGCTCCAGAACTGACACATGGAAGAGCTTGCCAATAAACGGGCGACTTGTTATCTACCTCAGCCCTGCGACCTCTCCTCAGACCTATATAAACACACAGCCTTTTCTAATAAAGTGGAAACCTCTTTGGTAATCTGTGTCTTGTGGTGTGGCGTTTTCCAGTCTTACAGCACACGCCTGTAATCCCAGTGGATTGGGAGGCTGAGACAGGAGGATTGCTAATTCAAAGCCAGCCTCAGCAATGGCAAGGCGCTAAGCAATGCAGTGAGACCCTGCCTCTAAATAAAATACAAAAATAGGGCTGGGGATGTGGCTCAGTGGCAAGAAACCCTGAGTTCAATCCCTGGTACAAAAAATTAAAAATGTAGGAGTCTAACATCTTAGTGATAAAGACAGGAAACAATATTTGTTTCAATATGAAAAATATATATAATATAAACAAGAAACTAATAACAGTGACAATTTATTTCAGAGTTGGGAGAGGAAACTAGATGACTAGGGAAACTGAACAGCAGTGGATAATTTTTTTTATATCTTTGTTTTTAAGCTATTTTTACCTATTTAAAAATTTTTACCCATTTAAAAAAATTAAGTGACGGGCTGGGGCTGTAACTCAGTGGCAAAGCACTTGCCTAGCATGTGTGAAGCACTGGATTTGATCCTCATCATCACATAAAAATTAACAAATAAATAAAGGCATTCTGTCCCTGTACAACTAAAAAAAAATTAAGTGAAAAAGAAAGAATACAGAGAAAGAAAAAATAAAGATGGTAAAAAGATTTTTCATCCACTCACCAACCTTTACCATTTTGTCACATTTGCTTTATTATTCCTTCTCTTAATGGGTACACATTTTTTTCTTGAATCATCTGAGAATTAGTTGTAGACATCATGCAGCAAAGGCTTATCTACTAAAGAAGGAAGGATATAGTCCAAGTGGAAGAGAGTGGTATTGCTTAGTAGAACCAAGACTAGAAAGAGCAGAGAAGTCAATATAAAGGAAGATAACTATCAGAAAGTCTAAGTTAAGTCATCTCAAATAAAATACAGTTGGAATTTAGAAAARACAATTGAAGAATGAGAAACCTGGCTGAGAGTCTATCCATGAGCATCAGATTCCTGGAGGGATTTTCTGATCAGAAACAGTGTTAAATACAAAAGAGCCCAAATATCCTGTGTTAACCCTCCCTTCCCTCTTCTCTCAAAATGGGTCTTCCTTTATTACCTTGCTTCTCTTGAGCTTCAAGTTCTGGAGATTCACACTGGATTTTCATAGACTGGAGGGACACACTGGGTTCTTCTTCTGTTCCTGCAGCCTGAGGAAATGAGATATAGATAAATGTAGAAAATAAAAGAGCATACTGTTCTTAGCAGTGGCACCTAGCTTGCTGAAAACTGAAATGAAATGACCTTTTTCCCAGATAGCAGTTTGCCATAATTATATCCATTCTTCAATGCCAATGTAAATATCACCTCCTCTTCATAACCGTCCTTTCCAGGCTAGAGTAATTTCCCATATTACTAACTGCTACAGATTGTACCACTTTTACTGCTTTTTTTTTTTTGTGCTCAAAAAAAAAAAAGAAGGGAGAAAAAGAAAAAACAAAGGAGAGAAGAAAGAGGCAGCAAAGAGGGAAAAAGACAGAACTTAGGAGAAAATAAAATGAAACATAAAGGAAAGGGGAATAATAAAGGGAGTCATGTGGAGAAATTATTTAAAAAGAAAGGCAGTACCAGGTAGAGTTGTAGGAGCCTGTATTCTCAACTACTTGAGAGGCTAAGGTTGGAGGATCACTTGGAGGCCAGCCTGGACAACATAGCAAAACCCTCACCAAAAAGAAAAAGAAAGAAAGAAAGAAAAAAGAAAAGGAGAAGAGAAAGGAGGAGGAAGAAAAAGGAGGAGACGAAAAAAGGGATAAAAGAAAGTGGAGGAAGGAAGGAGAAATGTAAGAAATCTCTTTCATATTAATTATAGAAGCTATTCCCAGTGGTATTTGTCCTTTTGAGGTTCCTTTCCATTTCTCTCAAAGAAGATTACCTTATCTTTTATTTATCCAAGATCACAATTATCTCAAAATCATCTATCTTTCATATCTTTTGCAGTACCACCACCACTCCAGCCTATCCTCTGTCCTACAGAAGAAAAATCTAAATTTAGAGACAGATAGTCAATATCCTTAGATTATCTCAACTCTTTCACTCACAACTCACCTTTCCAACATAATTGGGCTTTTTACCACTCAGAGAAGCAAGGATCCCTCACCCTGCCCTTCTCTCCTAATTTTTCATTCTGTTCCTATATCTCATTCTTCAGGCATGGTGATTTTTATTTCTCCATCTTTTCATCTTATAATGGAGAATCAGAGCAGTGGCTATATTTACAAAACCATATGACAATTTCTTAATTATTACAAGATTTGTTTTTTTAATTATTCAATAACATTAATTGTACAAATAAGTAGATTCACTATGATATTTCCACACATGCATATATCATGCTTAAACCACATTTCTTATTTATTTTGTATGGAACACCTCTTTCAAGAGGCTGCTTTCTACCTTGCTACCTAACAGCTTCTCCCTCTACTCTTTAATACTCTCTCTATATTAGAAGTCTTATTTCTAAGTTGAGCAGTATGTTCATCAAATAGAAATTTTTAGTTAAGTACAGAACACAGAAATATAAAAACGCTCTACAGAAAAGGTATAAATAAACTAAGATGACATTAACCAATTTTCCATGAAACTCATATCCCTTTCTGATGTACCAAAGTGTCAAGATGCTTTGTGAAACAATGCCACACTTCACTTTGATCTAGAATACACATTTTTGGTTTTTTTTTTTTTTTTTTTTTTTTTGGTACTGGGGGTTGAACCCAGAGGTGCTATACCATGAGTTACATCCCCAGAACTTTTAATTTTTTATTTTAAGACCATGTCTTGCTATATTGCCCAGTTTGGCTTGAATTTGTCATCCTYTTGCCTCAGCCTCCCAAATAGCTGAGCTTACAGGTATTTGCCTGCAACCAGCACAATTTACCTTTTCTCAAACAGAAATCACATCTTTTTTCTTACCTGATAACCTGGTTCATCTAGCTCTTTCTCTAAATCTTCCAGCACATTCACCACCTCCTCTCCACTCTCTGGATGCTGCTCTTGTACCCAGGCTTGAAGTTCCTCAGGTAGGATGGTCAGGAACTGCTCCAGCACCAGCAGCTCCAGGATCTGTTCTTTGGTGTGAGTCTCTGGCCTCAGCCATTGATGGCAAAGCTCCCAGAGTCGGCTCAAAGCTTCCCGAGGTCCAGATGCTTCCTGGTGGCAGAACTGCCTGAAGTATTGTCGAAAGACCTCTCTGCTATGAGTATTGTTCTTTTGAAGGCTCTCATCCTGTCTGGAGGTATATTTATTCTCTTCCTCCTCCTGGTCCTCTCTTTACTTCCAGAAGTTCTTCCTGGTCCTTTTTGGCCTGGATATTCCAAGTAGATGACATTATAGCTGTGCAAAAGCTCTGTCAGTAAGATCTCTCCTGGAAAAGTTCTTCCTGAATGGACCTGAAGAATAAGCCATCACTATGAACACAACTTACACTACACAATGACTGCCAATATTAAAAATTTAAGTATGATTTATGAAAGCCTGCTTCCAGGTTAATTTACTTATACTCAGGGAAATATGTGCTTGGATAGAAAATCCTTAGGAATAGACTAAATGAAAGACTACCGGAAACTTGCCAAGTTGTTTCAGGACTTTTAAGAAAGGAGGAGTAAGACTTATAGGAAACATTTTTTAAAAGGACAATTAAGTGGAATAAAACTAACATTTAAAAAAGCAGATTTTTTTAAAGTTGGGATACACTTGATTACTTGCTTTATTTATTTATTTAGTTGCAGTAGGGATTGAACCCAGGGTCACCTTACCCATTGGTACAACCCCAGGCGGCCCCCACAGCTGCCTTTTTTGAAACAAGGTCTCGTTAAATTACCCAGACACCACAGACTTGGGATCCTCTTGCCTCAGCCTCCAAGTCGCTGGAATTACATAAGCCACCACAACCGACTTGATCAGTTGTTTTTATAGGATTTTAAAATGTCTGATGTCTGGTGGAAACCATAAAATCATAAAAGCAGCGCATTCGCAGGATATTACTTCATCCGGGACTTACTCTGCACTTCATTCTTCATTTATTAAGTGAAAAGGCTGGAGAGATTACTCTTTAAAGCTATCTTATACCCTCGATTTATGTATTCTAAGGAAAGGTAAACTCAGAAAAGCGTTCTATGCCGCGGACCAGCGTCTGTAACCCAAAAGTGTCCAGAAATGTTGCGAAGCGCCGAACTGAGGACCTCAGGAGGCCTTGAGACAAACTCGGAAAGTACAGCCCGGCTCAGCTTCGCTGCCGGGGGCAGCTCCTTCATCCCCGGCTCATATCTGTACAAGGGCGGGCAGAATGACCCTGAGGTATTGTATTAGATAGGCTCGCCACCCGGCCACCGAGGCAGAGGAGGTTCCGGCCTACGCGCAACAGCAGGAGCCGAGCTTGAGCCGCCCACGCCGAGAAAACGCAACAATCCCCCCATCCCAACCCCGCCACCTCTCCAGTTACTTCGGGAGCACACGTCTGCCCACTCTGCCCCCAGGGGGCCAGCGGAAGACGTCCTCCTCGGGAGCGAAGGGCTGAGTACTCGACACTCTACGACACCCAGAGCCCACCAATGGCAACTTACAAAGGCCGCTGCGTATGGAGGGCCGGCTGGCTCTGCCTGTGCGGGGCGCATTTCCGTGGGAGCTCTAGGAAGGGGCGAGAGGGGTGTTCACTCGATGGTTTCATCCCTTGCGCTCGCGGGAGCTAGGCTGGGTATTCTCAGAAGCTTGAATGGGTTTTTCTTCTTCCTTGTCTTTACCCGGCCATTGTCCCACTGACCCCCACCCTAGCGCTGATCCGCGCCTGCAGAGCCGATCTGAAGATAGGGATTCTCTCATTCTCCCCTCAAGTTTATTTCCGTTTCTGCATCACTGAGATTCCAGGTCCTTCAAAGGGATGTTCTGAAGTCCTTTCTGAATGAATGCTTCAGGATAGTGAAGGGACCTCTGCCCAGATTTATGCCAACTTGCTGGGTTTTGCTGACTTTTTCAACGTCAGCGATTCTCTCAAGCGCCCTTTTATGTGCTTACAATGTGATTACACATCTGAAAACACAAGTCGTTCAATTAAGTGTCAAAAAGATTACTTGGTAAATTCGCAGGATAGAAAATTAACAGTAGCTGAGCTCGGTGTCCCGGGCTTATAAATTCCAGTGACTGAAGGCTGAGGGAGGAAGATCTCAAGTTTGAGGCCAGCCTCAGCAATACAGTTGAGACCAGTGTCTCAAAAATGAAAAAGGAAGGGAGGGAGGGAGGAAGGAAAAAGGATCCGGTTATAGCTCAGTGGAAAAGCATCTCTGGGTTCAATCTCTGTTAGGTGCAGGACAAGCTGAACTAAATTATCTGCAGGGCATGCCAAACAAAGTTAGCTGCAGGGTGACCTGACCACTCAAACCCTCTGTCTGGTTCTTTATCACCTGTTTGCTTCAAGCTCAAACACCCAAGCCCCTGCTCAAGGCTGAACACTCAACCCCCCCTTCCCCAAGGCTGAACTCTTAACCCCCCTTGTGCCAACAAGGCAGCTTGCAAACCCAGAGACCCTGTTAGATTTAGGCAGCACAGCAGAAGGGCTATAAAAACCTTCCCCTGCCACCACCCCTTTCTCTCTTTTTTCTCCTCGGTTGCACTGCTGCAATAAAGATCTTTTGGTTGCTCTGAGTGTTGTGGTCACTTTCCTTTCAATCTCCAGTACAAAAAAAAAAAAAAACAAGCAAACAACAAACAACAAAAACAGATAACTTATCAGGTAGAGTAGCAGTAATCCAGAAGTTTGACAGTATACAAACCAATGTTCATTAAAAGGGGACTGCATAGGTATATCGTAGTTTATTCAATTAGTCCCCTTTTAATGAACATTGGTTTGTTTCAAAATTTTACCTTGAATTCCTCAACAAATAATCTTAATTTTTTAATATTTTGGTCCATGTGTCTTTGAGATGGATTTATGTGAATTTGCTATATAGTATTACTTTCCTAGATTAAGGTCTCTATCATTTCGCATTTCCATCAGGTATGTATGGGAGTTTCTCTTTCTTTAAAAACAAAGTATACTGTCAAACTTCTGGATTACTGCTATACCTATTCAGTCCAGTACTAGACAGCTATAAAATGATGAGAAATGTCAATACACTGCTATAAAGTGATTGACAAGTATTTATAACATACTCTCTGTGTTGGACAAAATAATAATCTACCAAAGATGTCCGTATCTTAATCCCCAGAACCTATGGATATTTATTTTGTATGACAAAGATGATATGTTAGAGATCTGTTGCAGTGACAAAATCCTGAAATAATCAAGTTAAAAGGGGGAAATATTTGCTTTGATTCACTATAGCAGAGGTTTCATAGTTGCTTGAAACCATTGTTTTGGGGCCTGTGCTAAGGTGGGAGGTATGTGGTAGAATACTTCATACCTCCCATAATGGCCAGGAAGCAGAGTGGAGGGGCCAGGGTCTTAATATCCCTTCAAAAGCACACTCCTCAAGGAAAGTTCATTATATTGAGCTCATTAAAATAATAGAAAGTAATCAAATAAATAATCTAACATTATATCTCAAAGCCCAATAAAAAGAAAAACAAATCAACACCAAAAGCAGAAGACAGGAAATAATTAAAATCAGATTTGAAACCAATGAAATTGAAAGAAAAAAATCCAAATAATCAATGAAACAAAAAGTTGGTTCTTTGAAAAAAATAAATAAAATTGATAAACTCTTAGCCAAGCTAATAAAGAGAAAGGAAACAAATTACTAAAATTCATAATGAAAAGGAAATATTACAACAGACACTACTGAAATACAGACGATGATCAGAAACTATTTTGAAAATTTATACTGTAATAAAATACAGAACATTGAAGACAGTGACAAATTTCTGGAGACATATGACCTACCCAAATTAAACCAGGAGGACATATAAAATTTAAACATATAAATTTCAAGCAATGAAATTGAAGATACCATCAAAAGCCTACCAACCAAGAAAATCCCAGGACCAGACTGATTCTCAGTCAAGTTCTACAAGACCATCAGAAAAGAATTAACACCAATACTTCTCAAATTATTGCATGAAATAGAAAAGGAGGGAACCTTTCCAAACTTATTCTATGAGACTAGTATCACCCTGATACCAAAACCWGACAAAGACACATCAAGGAAAGAAAACTTCAGACCAATATCCCTGATAAATAAAGATACAAAAATTCTCAGTAAAATTCTGGAAAATCACAAAAAGCATATTGAAAAGATAGTGCACCATGGTCAAGTGGGGTTCATTCCAAACATGAAAGGTTGGTTCAACATATGGAAATTATTTCATTTATTTATTTATTTACTTATTTATTTTTGGTACTGGGGATTGAACTCAGGGGCACTTGACCACTCTACCACATCCCCAGCCATATTTTGTATTTTATTTAGAGACAGGGTCTCACTGAGTTGCTTAACAGCTTGCTTTTGCAGAGGCTGCCTTTGAATTCCCAATCCTTCTACCTCAGCCTCCCAAGCCACTGAGATTACAGGTGTGCGCCACCAGGTACAGCTAGAAATCAACAAACATAATTAATCACACATCAATAGATTTAAAGACAAGAAGCACATGATCATCTCAATTGATGCAGAAAAGCATTTGACAAAATCCAGCTCCTTTTCACATTTAAAACACTAGAAAAAACAGGGATAGTAGGAACACACCTCAACACTGCAAAAGCTATCTATGCCAAACCCAAGGCCAACATTATTATAAACAGAAAAATTGAAAGAATTCCTTCGAAAAACAGGGTAAGACAGGGATGCTGTCTTTCACCACCTCTCTGCAACATTGTCCTTGAAACTCTAGCCAGAGCAATTAGACAGAAAAAAGAAATTAAASGGCTATGAATAAGAAAAGACGCCCTGAAACTCTCACTATTTGCTGATGCTGTGATTCTATATTTAGAGATAAAAAAAAACTCGACCAGAAAACTTCTAGAACTCATAAATGAATTCAGCAAAGTAGTAGGATATAAAGTTAACATCAACAAATCAAACACATTTCTATACGTCAGTGATGAATCCACTGAGCAAGAAATTTGGAAAACTACCCCATTCACAATAGCCTCAAAAAAATAAAATATTTGAGCCTGGCTCAGTGGCACATGCCTGTAATACCAATGGCTTGGTATACACCCAAAGGACTTAAAATCAGCATACTACAGTGATGCAGCCATATCAATTCACAATAGCCAAGCTATGGAACCAACATAAGTGTTGAAGAACAGATGAATAGATGAATGGATAAAGAAAATGTGGTACATATACATAATGGAACATTACTCAGCCTTAAAGAAGAATGAAATTATGGCATTAGCCTGTAAATGGATGGAACTGGAGACTATTATGCTAAGTGAAATAAGCCAATCCCCAAAAGTCAAAGGCCCTATGTTCCCTCTGATATGCAAATACTTACTCACAATAAGTGGGGGTGGGGGGTAGGAGTGGAGGTTCACTGGATTAGACTGGGAGGAGTGGGAGGAAAGGAGTTGGAATGGGAATGGGAAAGACAGTAGAATGAATCATACATAACTTTCCAATGTTCATATATGAATATATGAGCAGTGTAACTCCACATCCTGTACGACCACAAGAATGTAATCCTAATAATTTAGAATAAGTTATACTCCATGCATGTAACTATGTCAAAAAAAAGGTTGGTTGTCAAGTATATGTAAAAGGAACAAATAATAATAAAAATAATCCAAATAGCCAAAACCACAGAAAAAGGTTGTTTCACACAAAAAAGGAGTTTATTAGAAAGAGAAGGTAAATCATACATGAAAGACAACAAAAACCCAAGTGGGACCTACAGGTGTTTTTTTCAGGTAGTTAATGAATATCCTCAAAGCCTGAAACGTCTTTAATTTACATAATTTTCAAGAGTTACAATCTTTTCCAAATTATCAGCAGCAAGAAGGGAGAGAAGAAGCAACTGATTTGATTACCTAAGATATTGAGTACATTGTTTAAAATATTTTCCTGTAATCTTTGCCAATTAAGCTTTTATGTTTTTACCTCAATCACTAGGTGCTATGAAACTCAACTGTATGTCTCCTGACCTGTTATTAACCTTTAACTTTAAAGCATACCTATGATTATTGGTAAGCTTTCTTACTTCTAAACTAAAGTCCCAGTAAAACACACTTAAAATAGTGAAAGTCTATTACTTAAAGCCTACTACTGTAAAGTGCCTCTAAACTTTATCAATGTTAATTTTACATTATTCTATTTTTAATTTCCAAGGTAATTTCCTTTTTTCATATGACCTATTTAACTGCTTTCTTAAAGAGTTTCTTTGATCCTTGATCAAAGTACACCAAGTTTTACATCTTTGTATTCTTTAACTAAAGAGAAGGCTCTGCACCTCAACCCATTTGCCATTAATATTAATTATGTGTTTCCCATTTTCATTGTAAATTCCTTTGTAAGGCAAAGGAGAGTCTGTGGGTGGCATGTCTTAATTGTATCCTTAGTCTCATTCTGGGAATTTTCCTGAAATCTCAGGCAAGATGTACTTTTATTATTGATTGATGTATGCCCTGTTATCCATATCATAAGTATCATAAACAAAACACTTAATATTCCCCATGGGTTCCGGTTTCCAGATGGTACGGCCTTGCCTTGCCACAGCATCCCCCACACTGTGACCCTGTCAAATAGCTGGTGCAGGAACGCCTTCGCCATTCAAGGACAGACAGCCTGAGCAAAAGAATCAGACTCCATCTTAATCAACAACAAACAAAGCACACTTTTGAGATTTTTCTTGAAGGAACCTGAGAAAAAGACCAGACCAATGCTTCCCTCCCTCCCTCCCTCCCTCTCTGCCCCCTCTTCATTTTTGCAGTACTGAGTATTGAACCCAGGGCCTCACACATGCTAGGCAGCAAGCAGTAAACCACCAAGTCTTGTTCCCAGCCCAGACAAAATTTTCTCAAGTTTTAAAGTACATAACAATCAACTGTGGATCTTGTTAAAATGCAGATTCTCAGTTGATGCCAGAGTTGCTGGTCTTCAGACCTCTTTTGAGTAACAAGGGTCTAAATGTGTTGAAGAAAGATGGTTAACAAATATTCTGCTCATGATTATAGTTAATATCTGTGTAAGTTTTCCTGCATGGATAATTTGGGGCTTAATAGTAGATATATGTTAGGAAATTACCATGTTCATGTGTGAATCAATAACACTTGGAATAACTGCTGAAAATGTCTCTTAATTTTTTTGAGAATTCTGAGGGCTTATAAGAAATGTGGGGCTGGGGTTGTGCCTCAGTGGTAGAGTGCTCACCTGGCACATGTGAGGCATTGGCTTTGATCCTGGGCACCACATAAAGGCATTGTGGCTGTCTACAACTAAAAACAATTAAAATGTTTTAAATGTGGATAATTTTCTTTCCCTCAATACAATTCTAAAAGGGGATAACAATTGTTTTAAGTCTGAGGACTTCTGATATTAAAGTCCATATATATTTAGTAGAAAGACTGGGGTTCAGAGTACTAGTATTTGTTAATTTCTGCCTCTTGGGTATGTATGTACATATCTATCTTTTTAACTATCTCAATTTCCTATGAGCAAAATGGAATACCTGTTCTATTTACATTAAAACTATGAGAATTAAAATTTAACATACATGAAAGTGCTTTTTCAAGGCTGCTAGAAGTGGGAGATGGTATAATGGTGAAGAATGCAGACTCTGGAATCAGATCTGCCTCATCTCTGTACAGCTGTGTAATATTTATACCTTCTTCTGTCTTTACTGAGAAATAAACATATCAGCATGCCCTTGAAAAAATTTGTAATAACCCTTTAGGGAAATTTCTGACTTGATGATTTTGAATATTAAAACACATTATCTTCTTCAGAACTTATAATTTTGCATTTACATAGAAATATAGGATTCTATTTATGAAAAGAGTCTATTAATTTTTATTGCTGATGTAACAAAGTACTACAAGTTCAATGCAATACAAATTTATTATACTACAGTTCCAGAGTTGGAAGGCCAAAAATGGGTGTTACAGGGGAATACAATCAACATGTCAGCAGGTGCTTTCTAGGAGAGCGCCTTTTCCAGATATTATAGATTGACTCCACTCCTTGGCTTGTATCACCTTCTAGCAATGGACCCACTCTGACCTCAGCTTCTACTGTCACATCTCCTTCAAGCTCAGACCTCCTGCTTCCCTTTTGTAAAGACTTTGTGATTAAACAATGTCTACACCAATACTCTAGAATAAACTTTGCTATTTCAAGATACTCAGTTACATTTACCAAGTCTCTTTTTCCACTTAACATACTCACAGGTGCTGGAGATTAGGATGAGGATATATTAGGATGAGATTAGGATGGGGCCTATTGTTCTTACTAGGATGAATTATCCAGATTTCCAAATAAGAAACTGAAGATAGTGCTCTCAACCAGGCTTTTATGCTCTTGAGAATCCAAGAAATTGGCAGTTTTTAATTGTAGTTAAAAGTGGCCCCTTAGAACTTTTAATGAGGCTGGAAGTATAGATGAATGGGGTAAAAATAACTTCAAAATTGAGTTTTCACCTACAAATGTATGTATAGATGAATAACTGCCAGATTATAAACTGTGTTAACAGTAATGAGAAGCAAGCATTTTTAACGTATCTAACAGGTAAGATGTGTTTAATAAATGCTTTGTGGATAAAATCAAATATAACTTTGTCAAATATAACACTGCTTGAGTTAAAAACAAAAGTTAGGGCTGGGGTTGTAGTTGAGCACTTGCCTCACATGTGTGAGGCACTGGGTTCAATCCTTAGCACCCATTAAAAAAAATAAAGCAAATAAAGATATTGTGTCCATCTACAACTTAAAAAATTTTTTTAACTTAAAAACAGAATTGCCACACCAATGAATTTTGGATTATAATGTACTTGCCTCTTCCAGAACCTGGGTTACAGAATTAGAGATAATAATGTTGGCATTGGAGTCAACTCAAGCTCCATGCTTGTGACAAAAACTTCTCTTCAGTTTTCTCAGCTACAAAATTGAAATGATGATAGGATGCACCTCACCGATTCACTGTAAACTGAAAGGCATAAGAAGCACTCAATGTGGTAAACTAAACCACATGATATAAGCAATTAGTCAAATTTTTGAACAATTTTAATACAAGGAAGTGAAAAAGGAAAGAATCATAGTCAAAGTTAAATTATATGCTTAGAAGAACAGATGAAAAGCTGAATAGGCATTGAAAATCAATTGAAAGGCAACGACTTTAGCAGTGAAGTTCATTAGGAAAAAATGCAAAATGACACCAATATTTTCTATGTGTACCTCTTTTACTTTGGTTCTTTGGTTCCTGAATGAAACCAGTTATTGAAAATCTATAGGGAGAAATGTTTGTGCACTTATATCTGTGTGCCCCATGCTATAAAGTTAAAAGGCAGATTACAGATTTTAATACTATTATTTTTAAATTAATTTGTAAATATTCAGTGAATTGATTCAAATTATTTTATACTCAGACTTTATATGATTTTTGGATGAAGTAGTTTTCCTAAAGTATACCCAGAAAACTTCTTGCACAAGTATATGACACTAGAGCTAAAGTATATATTATTATGAAGCCAACACAAACAGCAATATTCAGCATTGCAAAGCTGTATATGTCACTGTCAATAGAGAACTTGACAGATGTGTTTAAGATATTAGTATGCTTCTTTCAGTAGAAAAATAAGGGCATGTTCACTGGCTTTCCCTTATAACTTTCTATGTTAAATGATTAAACTGTTATTGTTCTCTCAGGGACAAAATAAGAAACAGTACCCTTGCTACCTTACTTAGTGGTATGACTTCAGGAAATTTTGCCTTCCCTATTCCAAGAAGCTACCTCAGTTCAGTGATAGGGTGGACTTTCCGATGCTGTATGAGGTTGCAATGGTAAATAAAGTTCTTGCCACACTCTTCACATTCATAAGGTCTCTCTCCAGTGTGAATTCTCTGATGCTTAGTGAGGACAGAACGTCGACTAAAATTCTTGCTGCACTGATTGCACTGATAAGGCTTTTCTCCAGTGTGGATTCTGAGGTGATGGAAAAGCCCAGCATTCTGGCTGAAGGCTTTACCACAGACACTGCACTGGTAGCGCTTCTCCCCAGTGTGAAGTCTCTGGTGCTGGAACAGGCCTGATCGCTGGCTAAAGGCCCTCCCGCACTCATCACATTCATAGGGTTTCTCACCTGTGTGTGTCCTCTGGTGCTCGATAAGGATAGAATTCTGGGTAAAGCTTTTTCCACATTCACCACAGATATAGGGTCTCTCTATTGAAGAGTTTACCCGTTGCTTTTCCAATTTGCCCTCGTGGTCACAGGTGTCTCTACATTCTGACACTTTAGTAACATCACTGTTCAGTTTTCCAGGTACTTCTATGAGAGATTTCATTTCTTTAGAAATTTCTTTTGCGGAAGCTAACTCCACATTCCAGTTACCAGCCTTACCATCTGAAATAATAAATGGATTACATGAATGTTATTTTTCTAAGGACAAAAGAAAAAAGTAACCAGAAGAGTAAGTGGAAGGGAACAAGTAATCACTTTTTCTGTTTACTTTCCCACTCTAAAACACTTATTCCTGAACCTCTGAGAGAAGATTCATGTGTTATAACTGCTTAATTATTTAATTGCTTCTAAAACCAGATAGTAAGCTTTTTGAAAGTGGGGACCATGTTTGCCTTGTTCATCACACTGTTTCCCTAGTACCTGGCGTCATGCTTGGCATATAGAAGACACTGTGTAAATATGTTGGCTTGATGGACAGCCAGGAAATAAGGCAGGGTCCCTAAGGTAATGCTAATCCTCACCAGTGTCTTGAACCCGGCACACCTCTGGTAAGTTACACTGCAGCTGCTTTTCCAAGATTTGGAATTGGCCACTTGATGACTCCTGGGCTGCTCCTTGAGTTGCCTTCTCTTTTACAAATATTTCCTGTTTATGAGCATGACTTGGGACCTGGTGGAAATTAAGAACAGTTGAGAATAAGGTATCAGAGAAGACACTGCCTTCTTATCAGAGCTGCTCAGTAGAAAAAGAACCAAGAAATTGGCAAAGAAAAAAAAAGAGAGAGAGAGAAGAGAGATTAAGAGCCTACAACAGACCGAGTCAGGCATAAAGAAATCTTTCTCCTCCTTACTTCTTCTTGTTGCACTAAACCCCTTATTTGTTCCTATAGATACAAACCTCTGTTCTCCCTCTCTTCCCACCTGCTCTCCTGGTTCATCCAGCTCTCTCTCCAAATCCTCCAGCACAGCCACTGCCTCATCTCCATTCATAGGGTGGTGCTCTCTCACCCAGGCCTGCAGGTCATCAGGCAGGATTGTCAGAAACTGCTCCAGCACCAGCAGCTCCAGGATCTGCTCCTTGCTGTGCATCTCAGGCCGCAGCCACTGATGGCAGAGCTCCTGGAGTCTTTGAAGAGCTTCCCGGGGACCAGTGGTCTCCTGATAACAGAACTGCCTGAAGCGTCTGCGGAAGAACTCTCTGGTATGAAGGTTACTTCTTGACAGGCCAGATTTTCGCCCACAGGCACGGTCCTTCTCTTCTTCCTTTACCTTCACTGCCAGAAGTCCTCCCTGGATCAACTCAGTCTGAAGAGCCAAGGTTGTGGCCATTTTATTTTTTACTATTCAAAAAAGAAGCTGTTCTTGATAATTCCCCTTTAATCTTTTCTTCTGGAAATACTGAAATAGATCTAAAATATAATTCAGAGAAAAAAATATAAAAATGCAGAAAACCTAGTGACAGGCAGGCACTGGGAGTATTTATATTCAAAAAGTCACTTTGGTTCATGAAGAAAGAACACTGAATGCATAAAGGTAAGAACCATGCAAACAATAAGCAGGTAAAAGGGGAAAGCTTCCCCAGTTTATTAAGGAAGGCACCATTTTTTTTAAAGAGAGAGAGAGAATTTTTAATGTTTATTTTTTAGTTATTGGTGGACACAACATCTTTGTTTGTATGTGGTGCTGAGGATCGAACCCAGGCAGCACACATGCCAGGCGAGCGTGCTCCGGCTTGAGCCACATTCCCAGTCCGGGAAGGCACCATTTTGATCATCCTTAATGAAACAGTTCAAATCAGCTTTAGTATAGTGGGGTTTTATTTGAATGGCAATATACTAGATTCGTTGTGAATTTTTAGTCAAATGAAGGTAAACAAATACTTTGGGCCCAAGTGGTCCCAGATGACACTAAGAATCAAAAAGAAAAGGGACAAAATGGAGGATGGAGGTTAAAATAAAAAAGATAAAATGAGGGCTGGGGCTGTAGCTCGTGGCAAAGTGCTTGCACAGCATGTGTGAAACACTCGGTTCAATACTTAGCACTGCATAAAAAATAAATAAGAATAATTATTTTTAAAAAGAAGGTAAAAAGAATGAGAAGCAAAATAAATACATTTGGAGAGGAGAGGCAGAGTCTCTCTAGTCAGGTGAGATATGGAGGGAAAAAGGTCTTTCTGCCTAAACTTTTCATACATACTTATTCACTTAGCAAATATTTATTCAGAGCCAATACTATATTTCAAGTAGTGTTATAGGCATGAGAATACAGTAATAAGCAAAACAAAGTCCATAGTCTCATGGAATTTGCATTCTAATAACAATAATATCTGACATTTTTAGTGCTTTTAATGTACCAGTCATTCTCCTAGATGCTTTATATTAGTCCACTTAATCCTCAAAACAAATGAGTAAGGTACCATTATTACTTCTATAATGCAGACGAGAAAATTGAGACACAAAAGAGTTTAAGTTACTTGTCCACAGTTTCATAGATAGTAAGTGGTGAAAGCCACAATTCAAACCCAATTAAAGAGACTTCAGAATTCTTAGTTTCAGTCACTGTCTCTATCAACTGTTGATATTATCTATATGTGGGGGAAAGGAGGAGACAAGAGCAGAAAAAAGGACCATGAGAGACAGACAATAATGAAAAATATATAAAGCAGTGAAAAACATTTTGAGAAAATGAAGGTAAATGATGTTGGGAGTAGGGGTGAAGAAAGATTGCTATTTTATATGTGGTGATCTAGGAAGGCTCTGTGGATAATAACTGAGCAGAAGTGAGGAACAAGTCATGTATATCTGGAGAAAGATTGTACCATGCAAAAGAACACTTGAGTACAAATTCTTGGATGTGGGAACATGCTTGGATTTTTCAAGGAACAGCTAGTTGAACAGTGATTGGAACAGAGAAAGCAAAAGGAAAATGGCAGGAGATAAAGCAGGGAGGAAGGAAACATCCTCTCTGAAGTGTTCATCCATTTCAGCCTACCCTATTCCTTCACAATTATTTTTTAATAGAGAGGAATATAAAATTCCTTCAAGTTCTACTCCCCAGAAATATGTAATTTAAAAATTGGAATGTAACTTTTAGATATTTCCTGTACATTTGTAATATCTCACACACAGTTGATATAAGCCCACAGTTTTCCTATTTATCTGGAAATAAGCAGAAGGTAATGTGAGATGGTGGACACAAGCAGATCTGGTTTTGAATTCTGACTAGCCTTGGGCAAGTTAAATTTTTTGAGCCCCAATCTCATGTGTGAAATGAAATATTGTATATAAAAGGGTTTTGCACACACAGAGCATGACAAACAATAAATATGCAAATTAACCCTTTAATAAGATGACCAACAATTTTGGTACAATGGTGCTTAATCAATAGTGGTTACCCTTAGGGCCAAGACTAAACTTTTTCTGTGGCCAAAGAAGATTGCTGGGCAAGTGGGAAACGCATGTGTACACACAAATAAAATGGCTGTTTCATCAGGTTTCCAGACACTTTGACATTCTTCAGATATATTCTTCAGATATATTCAATATATCTTCAGATATATTCTCTAACCTTAAATCTTTACTAGAAGTGCAGGACTACCAAGGTCCAAAAGAGAGAGGACCAGGTTAAATGAGAGAAGCAACCTCATGAGTTGTGGCAGTAAAGGTAACACAGAAATAGCAAATAGAGTCAGCATAGCAAACATTTTAAGCAGATTCTGAGCCAAACTGCCTAGATATGAATCCTGAATACACACACCCCTTACCAGCTGTATGACCTTGAGCAAATTATTTAACCTCATTTTATTCATGAATTTTTTTAAAAAGCAGGGTGGGGGGAATCTACATAATATTAGTGCTTATTATATAAAATTATGAGAATATTTGGAAAGTGCTTAGAACAGTGCTTGACCAGCGCATAGTAAATGCTATTTAAATACTCATTAAAAAAAAGCAGACATTAAAAGCCTTTATACTATGTGAATCAGACTAATACACTATGTGAATCGGAGGCTCTGACCTATTTTTAAAAACTATCCTAGTTCGTTGTTAAAAATAAGTCGATAGTAGAGAATGACAGACATCGGAAAATACATTCCTCTATATCCGAATGTATCTGGATCCTAAGCTGCAGCTGGGGACCAATACTAAGCACCAATACTAGGACAGAGGTTGAAGGGCTCCGGCATAGCCTAAGGACGTGGAGGGCAAAGACGTTGACTTCAATCAAGCAGCTCTGGAGCAACCTCTTCTGCCCCTCACTTGCTTGGCTAATCTCTAGCAAGAAGCCCCCTCCACCTTCTCCCCACACCCGGTCCGGAGTCGCAGCGCCAAACCCGCCCTTCCGAGGCTCTCAACGGTAGTCCCAATCCGAAGCTCACCGAGGCATCCGTGAGAGAAGATGCCACCCAGCCCAGATCGCACCACCTCAGAAACCTTGACAACAGCAGCCCAGAAAAAGAAAAACTACAAAGACCGGAAGTGCGTCAAGGTGGCTGGCTCTTTGTGAAACAGCTGTTCTGGCTGCGTTCCTTCTAGGAAGCTCGGAGGTTTCCACGCATCTGTGATCGCCTTACTGAAAGCCCTCTCTTCCAACCTGCAATGTGATGACAGCTGGCATATACTGCTTTACACATACTAATTCATTTACTGTGAATTACAACCCTGTGAATTATCCTCATCTAACAGATGGGGAAACCAAAGTACATTCCTTCAACATTAGTTGCCAATCTCCTGCAAACCAAACCGTCCCTTTTCCCTGCCCTCCCTCATGTTATAATGAATCTATGCGTTCTCTTAAAATTCATTGCTACTAACAATTACTCCTATTATTTAATGTTTAATTTATTTCAAATGTGGTCCATTTCAGAGACCTTTAAAATTAGTTTTTAATGTCCTTCGATAAGTTTTTGTGCGCTTCACTTTCTCACACAAGAGATTCCAGCCTCATTTTACACTTTCCTGCTCTAGACCAAGAATCCATGAAGCTATGACTCCTTTAAGAATGGGAAACAGAAACCCAAGATCCAGGTTTGGGGCAAAAACTCATTGCAACTGGAATATATCATTGCTTGTAGGCCCTGTTTGTGGATAAGAGCTAAGGGACAAGATTAAATGTCTTTTTCTGAGGGATTTTATAGGATATTTTCTATATACAAATCCAGAGAATTTTTTTTTTCATTTTAACCATTACATATTTGCTTTTCCTTTTACCCACGGTGAAAAATCTTGGCCCCCACAGCCTCAATATATTCACTCAATTTTCTCTATCTTATAAACAAAGTAGTTTCAAAATTACAATAGCAGTATCACTAGCAACAATATACAAACTATGTACAGTCCCCAGAAAATGTGTATTTTATTTTTTCTTGAGTTATATTTCTAAGGGACTATAGTGAGAATATTGTACATATACCTTATTTAAGTATTTTCTCTGTTTGGTTATATTACAAACTGGATATATATTTAGGATCATTTGTTTCTGTTTGTGTTTAATTTCAGGGTTTGCTTTTCTAAATAGACTAAAATTATGTTTCTATTTATTACCAATCTCTCTAAATAGATAATGTGAAGAAATAATTCTTAAATTATGAATGGAGGATTGTAGGGGATTTTTTCTCTTTAAAGAAATCCTTTGAAACATACCTGTAGTTTCATCAATTTGGGAAATTGAGGCAGGAGGACTTCGAAGGAAAAGAGTGATTTAGCAAGATCCTGTGTCAAAAATAAAATAATTAATTAATTAAAAGGATCAGGGATGCAGCTCAATAGTACAATACCCCTGGATTCAACCCCTAGTACCATACCATTTTAAAATAAGAATTCCACTGTATTTTCGCACAAAGCTTTTCAATATGATGATTACTATTGTTATTGAAATAAATTTGGTAAGTTAAGAGTTCTCTGAGTCAGTGTGCTTAGAATTAAACCCAGGACCATTCCACCTTTGAGCTTGAGTTGTTGGAATTACAGAATATGCTTCAAAGGATTTTGTTAAGAGAAAAAAAATCCCCTAAAATCCTCAGCTTCCTGAATAGCTGGAGTTACAGGTATGTTTGAAAGTCCTGGCAGTTTTTTTTTTTCTTGTGTCCCACTTCCTTTCCTTCTCCTTGCTTTATTCCCATCCTGGTCTCAATATCCTTTTACCTCTTATTCTTTCATTTATCTGTCCATTTATCTTATCTTTCAGCACCCACTTGAGAATTGATACCTGTACCCCAGAACTTGAAATGTCATATCTTGTTTAGGAGTATGGAAAAAAACTGCCTACTAAATAATTATTTTCCCTTTCATCAAATAACAGACTTTTATCTAGGTATATTGACACCTGGAATAAAGATTACATTTCTCAGCTATCCTTGCAACCAAGTATGATCATGTGACTAAATTGTGACTAATTAGATACAACAAAAAAAAACTGTTCATTCTTAGGAGTTTCCTTGAAAAAAATGCTGGCTTAGCAAGGTACAGTAGCCTGTGTCTATAATCCCAGGTACTTGGGAGAGTGATGGGGAGATTCTCTTGAGCCAAAGTTTGAGGCCAGCCAGTCTGGACAATATAGCAATCCCCCATATCAATCCCCCATATTAACTAGGATAATCCTTCTTTTCTACTTCTCTACAGGCTAAAATACAGAAATGATGGCCAGAGCTTCAACAACCACGTGAAAAGAAACTGTATGCAGAGAACAAGGACAAGGTCAGAACTGGATTCCGTGGAGCAAAAGCAACTACTCTATAAACTTTGCTTTTATGCCCCTTTTACATGACAAGCACTACAAATTGTGTATTTTTCAGACCTTTGATATTAATAGTTAATTATAAGTTCCGATATACAGTTTCCTACATTTTGAGTCTCTATTTAAGATTTTCTTTCCCTTTTGTAAAAAAGTGTGACCTCCATCTCTGATTAAACCCAGTATCTGTTTCCTTCCCACAGCACTGATATCTAGGAAATATAAGTTTGGAGGTAAGAGGGAAGGGAATTAAAAATAAATTATGTTTACAACAATAGTATAAATGTTGGTAGTCAGAAAAAAAAAGGAAGAGGTTTCCCCAAGAGACAAAAGGAAAGAGAGATGAAGAGAATGGAGAAAAAGTGCAGAAAAGGGGGAAGAGAAAACTCAGGCAAGATTGATATTGTACATGAACTCAAGCAAGATTGATATTGTATTAGGTGGTTCACCAGACATTCAGTAATTCATAATGTTCAAAACATTATATTGAGCTGGGCATGGCAGCACACGCCTGTAATCCCAGAGGCTCAGAAAGCTGAGGCAGGAGAATCACAAATTCAAAGCCAGTCTCAGCAACTTAGTGAGGCCCTAAGCAACTTATCAAGACCCTGTCTCCAAGTAAAATTTTTAAAAAGGGCAGGGATATGGCTCAGTGGTTAAGCACTCCTGAGTTCAATCTCCAGTACCAAACAAACAAACAAAACCCCACTATATTGTCATCAGAGTCTCACGTGTCCATAGCTTGAGCTACCCTTGTAGGGTGTCCCATTTGGATGGTTAAGCTCTCACTTAGAAGCCTGAGTGAAGTTCAACATCTGTCCACTTGTAAATACATTGGCTAATCTCATCAAAAGGACAGTACTATTTTTAACATTCCAATACCAGACTCAACAGAAATAACAGTGAATGTCCCTGAAATAAATCTTTTTTCCTAATACTGAAGGAGGATATTTCTCTGGTTCACTTGTGGCTTTTCCTGATTTGAGCCCTGCTGCCTGTCTTCTAATCCAGTGGAATTTCTAGGTTACTTTTTAGGATTTTTTTTGGTCACACTTCACTCTTTGTTTCAGCTCCAACTGAATTTTCTCTGCATGGCCATAAAATAAAGGTACCTAGCTGAGCAGAGTGGCTTGCACCTATAGTGTCAACCACTCTGGAGGCTGGGACAYGAGGATCACTTCAGCACAAGAATAAGAGACCGGCCTGGATACCATGGAAAGTTTCCATCTCAAAAATAAATAAAAGTGCCTGAACAAGGAGCACTTCTTAGGATTATCCTACTTGGATGTATAGCACACAATGATATCAGCAATTTAGAGAATCCTCTGGAAAGAAGCTCCCTCTATCTCCCCTTATAGTCTGGCATATATCTGGAACAACATCACAGGCTACCTCCTCAGGTAGGGTGACCAATGCCTTTTTGAGCATTAGCCTTTTTTCAATATTCCAGAGAGGGAATTGTTCTTCTCTTCCTCAAGGAGTAATATCTAATTTTTAGAAAGCAAACCCATTGTCACTAGATTAAATGAAAGCATACAAGCAAAGCTTCCCAGGCTCTTAAAGATAGGTGCCCACTGGTCATTAATATTTATTCCAAGGCCATTTTTAGTGACATATTAGGGACAGTATTACATCACCTCTCGGAGACTCAGCATTCAGAAGGCTTGTTTAATCTAAATGGGGTTACAGTAAGAAATATATAAAAGCTAGTTGCTGGTACAACAAAGAAGACATTCAAGATGTAAGGAAGGAAGAACAGAAGATAAAGACATAAAAACTCAAGGTGGCAAGGGAATGTAAGATCAATATAATAGGAACAGAGAGCACCTGGATGATGATAAGGGGAAATAACACTGAAAATACTGGGACCAATTTGTGAAGCAGGCTCTTGAATGTCAGGCTAAGATAGTAACTAACACAGAGGTATGGCAGCATTTAAAAAAGTACTTAACTGTAGAGGCAAAAAGGACTGTAGAGTTATTACATATTCTAATTCCACAACTCACAGAGAGGAGTCATCTAAGACTAAAAAAATATGGATGATTTTCCTTAAATCACACAGTGACTTTAGAGGCTGGGTAAGTACTATGTTGTTACCAAAGGTTTTACCACAGTTGTTGCACTCAGAGGGTTCCTCCCCAGTGTGATTTCTCTAATTTTCATAAGGACTGAGTCTTGACTAAAACTTACGCCACCATCATTATTCTGATAAGATTTTTTTATATATTTATATTCAGTGGGGTGATTATATGAAGAGATTTTCACACTTATTACATATATAGGATTTTTTTCTTTATTCATACCAGTATGAATAGGGAGATGTTAAAAAAGGGTTGAGTTTTGACTAAAGGCTCTGCCACATTCTATACTGTTTAGATAATATAGATGCTACACATGAAGCTTTTCCCACATTGATCACATCCGTTTTCTTTTCATTCCTCTGAACTTCCTTGATGCCTCTTAAACCTGCCTTTGCATTCATGAAAGTCTGCAAAATGGTCGGCTTGGAGAATGCTCCTGCCTCTACAGATTCTACTGAATCTCATCCTCTGTGACTCCACTCCTTGGGCTGCTTCCTGCTTTGGAGCTCATTTTCCAGGAAATAGATCATGCAATTGTCACTTTCTTTTTAAACTTTTCATTATGAAAAATCATAAACATATGTAAAAGTAAACAGAATTAAAATGTCACCTGTATGAACTGAT